AGAGTTAACGAGTTGGCATCATTATTTTTTTAAGGGGATATGTTAAAGGGCGAATATTTAATTCGTTTGCAATTGGTTTGATATCAATAAATTCAATTTTTGTTTATTCAGAACCAACAGCGTTGACGTTAGTATTCGTGGAGACGAAACGTGGCGCAAGCGATTTGGCCTATTACCTACAAAGAGACGGTTACAATGTGGTAGCAATTCATGGCGATTTGAAGCAGTTCGATCGCGAGAAACACTTGGAAACGTTCAGATCTGGCGTTGCACCTATACTCGTTGCTACTGCTGTAGGTTTCGGTTGTTTTGACAATTATGGAAATATAAATGATTTCGGAAAGAAAAAATGTTGAAGGTCACTGTGGATATTGTAAATTTTATTCGTAATGAGCATTCTTCAATTTCAAGGTAGCGGCTCGCGGTTTGGATATTCCAAACGTTAAACACGTGATCAATTATGATTTGCCATCAGACATCGATGAATACGTGCACAGAATCGGTAGAACTGGACGTGTGGGCAATGTTGGTGAGTGATTCGGATCATTCGTTGTGTTCATTTTATCAAATTTATGTAACAATCATATGCTATTCCAGTATTATTGATAACAATTGAATTGGGTTTCAATTTAAGGTTTGGCCACTTCATTTTTCAACGACAAAAATCGCAACATCTCACGTGATCTAGCTGAACTGATCGTTGAAGCAAACCAAGAATTGCCCGAATGGCTCGAGAAGCTGTCTGCAGACGCACAACGATACGGTTCGAGAGGGGGACGTGTTAAGGGCGGAGGGTTAGTTGCTTTACTCGATAATTCATTCCCACATTCAGTGATCCGTAGCGTTACCGTTGCTTGTCGTCACTGTTATTGTTCTGATTGATTTGTGTAATTGCAGGCGATTTGGTGCCCGTGACCATCGTGTTCAGTACACCGGTAGTAATCCAAATCCAAATTCACAACATCGTTCCAATGGCTCAAGCTATGGTCCATCCGCAATGAGCAATCAGTGGAATCAACCGCAACGTGCCGCCGCACAGAGGATACCACCCCAACAGGTTCACACACACCTTTTGCTGAATTATTGAAGGAGTTGTATTTTCGAGAGTTGATGGTCTCAATTTGCATCAGTTTATCTGAATATACCACAACCAGTGTATATGGTATTACGGAATGATGCTATATCACAGAATTNNNNAACCAGTGTATATGGTATTACGGAATGATGCTATATCACAGAATTTGGTTAATCAAACTTGTTATCCGATTTAAGTGGATTTCATTTTCAAGTACCAATGAACAGTTTGCCACTTTTTGGAAGAAATAAGGTCTCTCCTCGAATATGTTAAGGGGTGAAGAGTTAACGAGTTGGCATCATTATTTTTCATTATATTCAGATTTGAAATTGAATAACCCAGCTTTCAAGAGTAAGATTAATTACTAGACTCGGTAACGCAGTAGTGCTGTTTGTGCGTTGCCATTCATGGTATCATCCATCCATTTGTTCGTGCGTAAAGTTTAGTAATTCACTTAAGTTTATGATTTTGTCAGAGGCATTTAAAGTTGATTGGCTTTTACAGGATTGGTGGAATAACTGAAGTAATGAATCGATCGCATATGATGATGAAATGAAATGAATTTGAAACGTTCGTTGTATGGCATCTAATTTAATCGTATTGCACATCCCATCCCATCCATCACTAATCACCTTTATCGTATCATCCAACAGAGTCAGTTACGTACCACCAGCATTCATAAGTATTATTCACATTCTCAGTCAGCACAATATGAAAGTGAATCGTCGTCGCAATCATTTGCAATGAATGAAGAATAATTTGCCTCCTACTGCAATTCTCAATTTTCGAAGACGCCGTTGTCACCGTCGTCAGTATTATATTTTGTGTATGTGACCATTAATGAGTCCATCCATCCGTTCATCCGCCCATTCGGTCCTCCGTATAGCTTGTGTAGTTGATTTGTTTATTTACACGTCGATTGCATCATTGATTCAGAGTAGTTAATT